GTATTATATATTTATGTATTTTATATTTATATATATTAAAAATTATATATATTAATTATATATATTTTTGAAAACCATATAAAAAACATTCCTTACATTTTAATTACTGAATATACATTCACTATCGATATTAAATATATATGCTATATTTTAATTACCGATATACCGATTACACGTTCCATACAATTAAATAAATTTCAATGTAGATGTTATAATTAAAGATTAATGAGAAATAATTCAGTAATTTTCAATTTTAATAACTACCGGTACATTAATTTAATTATGAACATTTGAGTAAAATATTTATGTTTTAGCAATCATGATTACGACAGTCCATGTAAGTTTTGAAATTATTAATCAAATTAATATGAGAAAATGTAAGCTTATCATTTAATTATATCAGAAATACATAGGATATTTTTTAGGGTAAGGTTGTAGCGTTAAAGACAAGATTGTGGCTTTAGGGTAAAGCTGTAGCTACTACGGTAAGGTTGTAGCTTTTAGGTTAATGTTGTGGCTTTCAGGGTAAGGTTGAAACTTTTAGGGTAAGGTTGTAGCTTTTAGAATAAGGTTGTAGCTTTTAGAATAAGGTTGTAGCTTTTAATGTAAGGTTGTAGCTTTTAATGTAAGGTTGTAGCTTCTAGAGTAAGGTTGTAGCTTTTAGAGTAAGGTTGTATCTTTCAATGTAAGGTAGTATCTTTTAGAGTATGGTTCTAGCTTTTAGAGTAAGGTTGTAGCTTTTAGGGTAAGGTTGTAGCTATTAAAGATTTAAGTTGTAGCTTTTAGAGTAAGGTTTCCACTTTTAATGTAAGGTTGTAGCTTTTAGAGCAAGGTTGTATCTTTTGGGGTAAGGTTGTGGCTTTTAATGTAAGGTTGTATTTTCTAGAGTGAGGTTGTAGTTTTTAGAGTAAAGTTGTAGTTTTTAGGGTATGGTTGTATCTTTCAGAGTGAGGTTGTAGTTTTTAGGGTAAGGTTGTATGTAGTTTTTAGAGTAAGGTTGTAGTTTTTAGAGATAAAGTTTTAGTTTTTAGGGCTATGCTACTCACGACGTGCACCCAGTCCTTCTTGCCCTCCCCCCCTGGGTGGTTGAACTTGTACGGCGAAATGTCGATCAAGGAAGACACGTGGCCGTGGTAGGCACTGCGGCCCAAACATTGTATGTGATACATTCTTATTATCAACATAGTTATTGTCAACATAGTTATTGTCAACATAGTTATTGTCAATATAGTCATTATCAACATAGTTATATTCAACATAGCAATTATCAACATCGGTTCTCTCAACATCGCTTTTCAAAACATCGTTATTTTCACCATCGTAGTGGCCTATATTATCCGCAAGCTTCTTTCGTTTCTTTTTGTACCCGCCAATGCGTCATTAAAAAATTGTCGAGTTAACTCTGCGCTCGGTTATAGATTGTGGAACGTGACAATGATAGTGACTTTAAGGAAGTTTTTGCTGAAACAGTAGGTGTAATTGAAGTTACTCTAGTTGAAGAGGTGAAAAACTATAACAATTAGTGATGGGTTATAGATAAAAAACTGGGTGGAACGGAGAGATAACTTGAGAGCATCATCGATTTTGTTTCTACGGAGGGACATATACCTACACAGCACGGCTGATTCAATGCGCGTGCGGGCGCATCCAACTCAAATTCTTTGTACTGCCAGCGCCTGCTTTTGCTACTTTCTACTGAATGGAAAAGATAGAGCTTTTCCCGTGTACAGGCACCTTAATTATCCTAGGTGGTATAGTAGCCTTTGAAGTTAAGTGCTTGAATCCATAGTACTGTAAGACCACAGCTACAGTTTAAACATGGCTCACTTCACAGGTCTTAACACGGCAGGCCAATCCTACACAGTTACCCCGACTCTCCACCAAAACCTAACCTAACCTCATTGGCTGCAGCAAGCTAAGGCGGGGCAGGGGAAGAGGTGAAGCCGGCCATTGGCTCCAAGAAGGTGAAGTCGGAGATAAATGTGAAGGTAATGTCTTTTGGGTTTAAACATTTGAAATAGATCCCTAGCAAGCAATAGATGTTGATATCCGGCAAAATGGCTTAAGCAGGAAGGAACTGGCCTGGCTTGCAGTGTTTCGGCATGTCGTGCGGCTTTGTAGCTCTGAGGCTAAGTGTAGTTATTGCATGATGAGACTAGGCGTTGGAGCCAGGGCTAGTTAAAAAGTCAATTTTGTTTCTCAAGGCTACGCCTCCCGGCGACCGACACCTTTAAAAATTATTGCTGGCAACCCAATTCAGTCGCCAGCTTCATGCTATCTTTCTATCTCAACCTTATTCCTATACACATTTTCCCGCGTTTTATTCACCCATACATCACAAATGACCACACATCACACACGAGCTCACTGGTCCAAGGTGATGACGTCCCGGTGTCGCGTATGAGTCCATGCAAGCCGCAGAGCCAAGTCGTTCGCTTCGCTGCCGGAGTTAGTGAAGTAAACCACGCAGAGGGGCGGGGCAAACAGCGAGCACAGCCTGGTAATATCAATAATATCAATAATACTAATAACATTAATAACATTAATATTAATAATAAAAATAATAATTACAAGTAATAATTATGTAATTAAGATGTTTTATTTTGGATAACATTACAACATCCCACATGCTTCCATCACACATTTGAGTTAATGAAGTATACACTGAAAATATAACGAATTAAAATATACATGTAGGTATAATCAACCATGAAAAAGAATCAACAAATAAACAAAAAAAACTGCAACAAAAAATCCATAAGAAGGATATTCATTCATTTTCATGAAATAAATGCAGCAAATTTAATTGAATGCGTAAATATACTCACCGCTGCGCGTACAGGACGAGCTCGTCGTGCAGGAAGCGGTTGTTGGTGTTGAGTAGCCCGTACTGCGCCGCTGCGGCTGCCACCACTTTAGGGTGGCAGTGGCCAACTGTGTGGCCAAATGGTACAGTTAGGGTGGCAGTGGCCAACTGCGCGGCCAAATGGTACAGTTAGGGTGGCAGTGGCCAACTGTGCGGTCAAATGGTACAGTTAGGGTGGCAGTGGCCAACTGTGCGGTCAAATGGTACAGTTAAGTGGCAGTGGCCAACTGTGCGGCCAAATGGTACAGTTAGGGTGGCAGTGGCCAACTGCGCGGTCAAATGGTACAGTTAGTGTGGCAGTGGCCAACTGCGCGGTCAAATGGTACAGTTAGTGTGGCAGTGGCCAACTGAGCGGTCAAATGGTACAGTTAGGGTGGCAGTGGCCAACTGAGCGGCCAAATGGTACAGTTAGGGTGGCAGTGGCCAACTGCGCGGCCAAAGGGTACAGTCATAGCAGCATTTATGGATCAGTTCTACACTAAAGACAAAATTCTTATTAGTAAAATATGTCTAATGCCTGAGTAATTCCAAGTCAAAGACGTAATGATAAAAGAAATGACATAAAAAAGGTTAAAAATTCCAAGTCAAAGACGTAATGATAAAATAAACAACATAAAAATAGGTTAAAAAATGTAATTATAGCTGCATTTATGGGAGAGGACATCCAACATATGTCAGGATATGATAACAGAAATCATTTATCACCAGGCAGAAGATGATAGCAGTGAACACATTGACATATTATATAAGAATATAAAGAAGTCATGGCACGGCGATATGCCATGAACTGCAATGGCACTGCGATATGCCATGAACTGCAATGGCACTGCGATATGCCATAAACAGCAATGGCACTGCGATATGCCATGAACAGCAATGGCACTGCGATATGCCATGAACTGCAATGGCACTGCGATATGCCATGAACTGCAATGGCACTGTGATATGCCATGAACAGCAATGGCACTGTGATATGCCATGAACAGCAATGGCACAGCGATATGCCATGAACAGCAATGGCACTGCGATAATGGCATAGCCTCGATTAGCTCTGAATGACACCTCTGTTGAGTTGTGTTGGTGCCTACATAAACCTACACATTGGCGCTTCCTTACACAAGTCTAACCTTTATACTGGCTTAACCTTTCCACCGGCCAAACCTTTTTACCAGTATATCCATTACACTGACCTAAATTCATATTGCCTATCTTTTATACTGGCATAACCTGTACATTGGATTAACCGTAATACTGGACGAAGCTTTTTACTGGACTAACCTTTATTATGGCCTAACCTTATAACTGCTTTATACTGGCTTAATTCCTTTACACCGGCCAAACCTTTTTACCAGCTTATCCATTATACTGACCTAAATTCATATTGCCTATCCTTTATTCAGACCTAACCTGTATACATTGGATTAACCGTAATACTGGCCGAAGCTTTTTACTGGACTAACCTTTATTAGGGCCTAACCTTATAACTGCTAATGGTATAACCTTTACACGCTGCACGGTTCCCAAAAAATTGCCAGAAAACTTAATTTTTTAGGGGCTTGACAATCGACGAATTGATTGGCAATTGTTACAGGCGTTCAGCCATGAGGTTTTACTTTAAAAATTGCTACTTTACCAAGACTTTTTGAATTTCCGAGAAGTCAAAATCTCTGGAGTTGACACAATATAATCACTTCATTCTAAAACAATTATTTCAATTGATTGATAAACGTGACTTAATATCAAGATTTGACAATTATAATCCTAATGTTCACAATGTTCAATGTTCGTAATGTTAAACATCGATTCATACTTCGCTCAAAAGCTTTTTCATTAATAATTACAATGCCGTTGTTCATGGGGAACGCAAGATAAGATAACGTAGTACGCATGTATTGCAACAACAACGGCTTATCTGTAATGAACGCAGCTGTTGGCATGGACGTAGTTTCTCCCGTAGAGTTTCTAATTAATCTGAAGTAATCTAAAGTAATCTGAAGTAATCTAAAGTAATCTAAAGTAATCTAAAGCAATCTGAAGTAATCTGAAGTAATCTGAAGTAATCTAAAGCAATCTGAAGTAATCTGAAGTAATCTGAAGTAATCTGCAGTAATCTGAAGTAATCTGAAGTAATCAGAAGTAATCTGAAGTAATCTGAAGTAATCTAAAGTAATCTAAAGTAATCTAAAGTAATCCAAAGTAATCCAAAGTAATCTAAAGTAATCTAAAGTAATCTGAAGTAATCTGAAGTAATCTGCAGTAATCTAAAGTAATCTAAAGTAATCTGAAGTAATCTGAAGTAATCTAAAGCAATCTGAAGTAATCTGAAGTAATCTCAAGAAATCCAAGGAAAATCGGTAGCCAGCTACATAACTCATAAGCGAGGATGGAAAAGGTAAGATATTCGTATTATCTTAGCAAAATAGTAAGAATTCTTACTTTTCTTAGACCCTTTTCCGGATTCTGGTCAGAAAACGTGCAGTACATTATTAAAACCATTAAAGGAACTTGATATGGGCGGAAATTGCGGTAACTATAGAGTTACGATAATTCAGCCAAGATGTTATAATTCAAAGGCATGTATCAATTAATAATTTAAAAGCAAAGAAAATGTCAAGTAAATCCATTATATTTTAATTTGAAGTTTTTCGGCGTATAGCTTCATCACCAGTTAGAAATACAAGTCCAACAGTTATGATAAAAATATAGTGAATTTCCATAGCGTTTCTTATATTTTAATTATTGGCTAACTTGCAATTTAAGAAAACTACTGATATAAAAAATACAGTAATTTTTCGAATTTAGAGAAATTTGCATGTACCTGTTATTTTTGACCGCAAGTCAAATTTATTATTAGTGTGTATAATAATACACACTAATAATACTCTCGGAATACTCTCAGAATAAATAATACTCTCAGAGAATTGAATGGGACTTTGTCCAAATAGCGATGCCTTCTTTGACATTGTGCGGGTCACTTATCCATTAATGGGAGTGTAATAACATCCAATTACCTCGAGTTTTCTCATTCGTGTTTAAAATGAAATATCCTTTAGAAGGGGCATCTAAGAGATGAATGTACTCAGCTGCAAACATTGTGTGGTTGGCCTGATGTAAAATTTAAATAAATGTCACCACTAATTTACAAATTTGTAATTTATAATTAACTAATTAATTTATAATCTCTTAAAAATTTAAAAGCAAAGAATAGTCCATGAAAATTCATATCTTTGTAGAAAACGTTTCGGAGTCCAGCTCCATCTTTTCTATAAAGATATGAATTTTTGTGGACTATTCTTTGCTTTTAAATTTTTAGTTGCTTTTAGTTTAGTTTAGTTAGTTAATTTTTTACTTTTTTAAAAGTTTAGTTTAAATTTAAATTTTTTAAATTTAGTTAAAACTTCAACATATGTTACATCAACCTTTAGTCCCAATGCAGTCTCATAAGCAGCAGCTTCTTAGATATCTCCTAGCAACGCAAGCTCTACTAGGTCAGAAGATCAGATCAGTAGTGTTTATTTAAATTTAAATAAGTATGCTTCATTACACTCGTTTAATTTCTGCTAGATTTTCCTCCCGTATTCATTTGATCCACGGCACTGGGAAAAAATGTATCCCTCTGCTCAGTAACTCGTACAATTCTGTAACTTTTTGCGAGTTTTATCAGTCAAGCCTTATTAGAAACGCTCGTGACATTGGTTCGCAAATGTAATAAATAATTAATGTATAGCGTCGCATAATGTACTGCAGTCCCTGCGATGCTATACATTATTATATTTACACTCTAATCAACGTGCATGCTCTACTTGGTGAAGATAAGTCCTGCGACGCCATACATTAATTAATTATTATATATGCGTTATATCGAACCAATGTCACGAGCGTTTCTAACAAGGCATGACTGATAAAGCTAAAAAAAATTTAACTCAGTACTCACTGCAGTGAATGACAGAGAGCGCATTTTCTCGTCGACGAAAACGTGAAGTCACGGACGGACGGACAGACAGACGGACAGACGGACAGACAGACAGACAGACAGACAGACAGACGTACAGACAGACGGACAGACAGACGGACAGACAGACGGACAGACAGACGGACGGACATGGCGAGCACATTAGTGTATTTTTTCCTTAAGTGAGAAAATGAGCTAAAAAGGGTTACGACATTTTACGAGTTACGTTACCGAGCAGAGGGATTAATTTTTTCCCAGTACCGTGGATCATATAAATATATATAAATGCGGGAAGATACTATAGCAGAAATGAAACGAGTTGTAATGGGACATCCTTATTTAAATTTAAATAAGCACTACTGATCCTAGCGAGATAAAATGTGGAGGCGTAGTCAAGAGGCAACAGAATAAGTATCAAAAAAAGCTGCGGGTTCGAACCCCAGCAAGCTGTAAAATTTTACGGTTTCACTTGCACATGAGGCGCTATATAATCCGTCGACGGCACCGTGACCGTGGGCGGCAAGACCAAAACGAATCCCAAATAACTATTCATTTATAGAATAGATACCAGAAATTTATAATCCAGAAAATTAACAAATTCTTGGTACTTCATTGCCACTAGCATCACGAAACGTTGAAAAACTACAACCGGCCATACATAGTTACTCTATGTATTGACTTTTTGAACATCTGATGAGTATAAAAAAAAAACAGTGGGCCCCGATATTGCTTATGATAGCACTCACTATGCTATTGAAAACGGCAAAATATGTTAGCCAATGAAACTCAAACAACAACAGCCGCGCATATGGCAACACTCGCTATGCAGTTGCCAGCTGCCAAATAAGTATCACAAGAACATCAACCACAGCCCCGCGTATGGCAACACTCGCTATGCAGTTGCCAGCTGCCAAATAAGTATCACAATAACATCAAACAACAACAGCCACGCGTATGGCAACACTCACTTGCAGTTGCCAGCTGCCAAATAAGTATCACAAGAACATCAAACAACAACAGACGCGCGTATGGCAACACTCGCTATATGCAGTTGCCAGCTGCCAAATAAGTATCACAAGAACATCAAACAACAACAGCCAGTTTCTGGTCAGAATCGGCAAGGAGGCCGGGCGGTTAAGCACAGCAGAATTGTAGCAGTGAGTTGCGAGTTCGAGACCGCAACAAGCTGTGAATGTTCTACGATGTTAAGAATCGACGACAGGCCTACGGCCTACTAAACAGTGAAACCGCTATTATTATTATTATTATTATTATTATTATTATTATTATTATTATTAACACTCACCATGCGCAACATTGTTGATGCAGTCGAGGTAGGCGTTGCCGAGCTCGTCGTACATGCGGCAGCCTGAAGCCCTCACAATTTTCAGAGGGTCGCTGCGGAAGAATAACTTGCAGGAGGGCCTGCAGGATATGGAAGGAATGAGTGCATATTAAAAATGATCTATTTGATCTAAAGGACATAGTATATGGCAGATCCTGAAAAATTAAATCTTGACAATTTAAAAAGAAATATTCAATATTATGAAAATCTAAATACAAAGTAAATTCAATATAATAAAGCTAGCTGCTGCTTATGGACAGTGTCTTGTTAATTTAATCATTGAAAGCATAATATATTGAATCTTGTAATTACATGTATAAAATAAATTGTGGCTGCCCTGACATACATAATCAAATTTTTTTCTATTTTTGAATACGGGAAAATGATTTGTTTTATATATCCTTAATCCCCGAAGAAATGATATCATGCAGCTTATGTCCATCCCCCAATATCACGTTTAATAGTATTTATTCAATAACAATATTGTATCGAAACTCTCATAATCAATGAAACTGTAAATTACATCTACGGTGACGATTGAAAAATGCATGCCTTGTCGTTCTTATATTATAAAATTTCGATTCAAAGGTAGTTCATATGGAAGAGACAGATGGAAACGTTTTATTTTGGTAGGATTATAGGTTCTCATGAAAAGTCAGTTGAAATTATTATTTTAACCCTAGATATACTAAGCGTGTTTCCAAATCAACATTGGTTGTAGAAAGTTAAAAATATGAGTCAAAATAAAAGGATACATGCAAACCCGGCTATTTTCGATTACACTGTAACATATTTTTTTAAATTTTGGGAAGAAAAATTGTAAAACGGATAGATACAGCGCGCATATTTATTAGTCTGTCCTCAATAGATTACAGACATTGTCTGTCCTCATTAGAATACAGACATTGTCTGTAAACAATAGAATCCAGACATTGTCTGTACACAATAGAATCCAGACATTGTCTGTAAACAATAGAATCCAGACGTTGTCTGTACACAATAGAATCCAGACATTNCTTGTCTGTACACAATAGAATCTCGACCTTGTCTGTACACAATAGAATCTCGACCTTGTCTGTACACAATAGAATCTCGACCTTGTCTGTACACAATAGAATCTAGACCTTGTCTGTACACAATACAATCCAGGCCTTGTCTGTACACAATAGAATTCAGAATATTGCCCTTGTATCAGTAACGGTAGATAGTTGAACAGTCATCACGACTACCCTCTACATATGAGGTTGTCTTCACTAATTCAGCATGCATAGGCTTTTCTCTTCTAGTTAGGAACATAAACAATTGTTGTATCGATTCTTTCCTGCACCCAAGGATTCCGCTAATGCCACGGATAGTAACAATTTGCGTTTTTTCTCAAAATTTTTCCCATTCAACCGTGCCTCAAATTTTGTTTATAAGCTTTTTACACCTGGGCGCACATTTTATCACGAATAAGTTTTTTTCTAGGACCCGTATTTAATAGGGTAAAAAAATGATTTTCGGAAAATCTTTAATAAAACAAGCAAAAGATCTTTTTAAGAATATGCAGCCAGTATATGGCTTTGTCAAGAAAACGCACTCTAGTAAATCCATGTTAATAAAACGCAATGTATTTTTTTACATTGAGTTGTAATTCTTAAAAAAATGTTTAAATAGACCTAATTTGTTATGTCATTCATTCAATTAAACTTGTTAAGAATACACAAGTCAGTAACGTTCTTGTTAAGTATAAGCACCCCAGTATGGCTTTGTTAGGAAAACGCAGTATAGTATATCCTTATTAATAAAACGCAATATATTTTTTTACGTTGAATTGTAATTCTTAAGAAAATTTAAGTAGACCAAATTCGTTGTATTAATCATTCAATTAAAGTTGTTAAGAATACACCCTTCAGTAATATTCTTAACAATTAAGATCCCATGCAAGCACCTTCTCTTACACCGCCGTTCTTTGTACAGGAAATCGTGGTACCAATGAAGATAACATTCGTTATACCAGGGAGCCGTGCTATTAAATAGTAAAGAGTTCTTAACACCTTCAGCCAAACACTGACGGCTTTTCACGCTAAACCCACCAATCACAGATGAGAAATCGTCCGCTACGTGAACTTATACCGGCACGGTTACTTATATAGGCCGCTACGTGTACTTAGGCCACTAGGTGTATTTTAATTGAGTTTTAATAGTCAGACTCCCTACGATTAGAAAATGCTTACAATACTTGGTGAAATGCGTACAAATTTTTACTAAATATAGCGGCTGCCTCATAAATCTTTGTTAAGGAACTGAAAAAGCGACACAGACATATACTTATGTGGTATGTTTTCTTTATGAAATTTATTTACAATAATTTTGGTTTTTGCTGAATGAAAACCTTTGTTCAAATTACAATATTTAATAATTACTCATCAGCAGTTATCATGCGCATAGCCTACACCCAGGAGGTCAATGTGAATTTTTTTTCATCACTTGTCGCTCTCTAAAATTACTGACGCGGCTGACGTGTATATAAGTGAAAAAGTGATACTCCATTAACAAAATCGCTGACATGTAGAATGAGTGCGCTGAAAAAAAAGATCGTCAGCTTGCATTTTGGCCAGAGTGTCGTTGAGCCTGTCAATCTCTAACAACATTCCGACACGCTACAAATACGCGAACATCTCTACAACACACATCCGTGCGACAATTGCGCTGGACAACGAACATCCCTGCAACATTCTTACGCAACAAATGTGCTGGACAACGAATATCCCTTCAACATCCTAAGTAAATTGCTTCAGACAACAACATCCCTACAACATCCTGACGCAACAGATGTGCTGGACAACCAACATCCCTACAACATCCTGACGCAATAAATGTGCTGGACAACCAACATCCCTACAACATCCTGACGCAACAAATGTGCTGGACAACCAACATCCCTACAACATCCTGACGCAACAAATGCGCTGGACAACCAACATCCCTGCAACATCCTGACGCAACAAATGCGTTGGACAACAAACATCCCTACAACATCTTGACGCAACAGATGCGTTAGACAACCAACATCCCTACAACATCCTGACGCAACATATGCGTTAGACAACCAACATCCCTACAACATCCTGACGCAACAAATGCGTTAGACAACCAACATCCCTACAACATCCTGACGCAACAGATGCGTTAGACAACTAACTTCCCCACAACATCCTGACGTAACAAATGCGTTGAATAACGAAATACTAAAGGAAGAAGTTGAAAGTCATTAAAAAAATTACTGTGAACGATGAACGGTGGTCGCAAAAAATATTATATGTGAAACATAAGCGTGAGCAAATGAACACGTTTTGGAACATTGTTGACCGTACTGAATATTTTGGTGCATTGTTCGCCGTACCGAATTTTATGGTGCATTGTTGAACGTACCGAATGTCTTGGTACATTGTTAAGCGTACCGAATGTTTTGGTAGATTGTTTCCGCTTTCTTTAGGATGTTGACATGAATAACTGAATATTTTAGTCTATAAGGTTGTAGTGAATACTTGTCAATTAAACTTTTTCAGCTGCCGACTGCGAAGCAAATTTTTATTTCGTTAGTAAAAGATTTTCATGCCACTTAGATAATCGATCTAAATGTCTAAACCGGAGGTCAACATTGCCCCCCAATTTCATTTCCTCAAAATTGTTGGTCAAAATAACAGCTCTGCGTTCAAGAGAAACAAGCTTAACGCACCAACGTCAATGACCAAAGTCGCCATAGCGATGCCCTTTCACCGAACTCGCCACGCTCTATAAAACCAATGTGATATTCAATAGAAATACATTTACGAATGTTTGAGGGGTAAATGAGGGTTCAATGTGTTCATATCGCAATAAAACATACATATTTATCTATTATTAACGGAAATGACCAAGTGAGTGCATGAATTAGGTCACAGTTATGCTAATCTTGCGCCAGCTTCGCTGCGTTACTATGGTGATATTACCAGTTTGAAATAGAATTGGTGTGGAACAGAGATAAATGTTACAAGAATTTGCTGCGCGTTACTATTTTAAATTTAAAATTTTTTACTAAAATTCGTATACTATTTTAATAATACAAGTTTGGCCTAAAATTCGTATGAAACTTAGATGATAGATATATGTTACAAAAATTTTCTGTCAGCATCAGGTGCCACAATACAATAATCGCGAGTTTTATGATTAAAAATTACAGAATGTTTTTACAAGGACTGGGGCAGTCCTTCCTTTATCGCTTGATATCCAAATTTATGATATAAATTTAATGTTATCCGAATGTACCGTATTTACGATACTGTTAATAATACATTCTAAAAACGACAGTAGTACAGCGTTCCGTCGTACAGTAAATTCCGTTTATTTGGAGAAAACGTTCGTGTCTTGGCCAAAGAGTTCTACTTTTACTAGAAAATAATCGATTTGCAAGTAAATTGTGCTCTACAAAACGTGATCTTACCCGACATATTTTTGTCGTAGCTCAATAGTTTTCTCCTTAGGTATTTTTTCAAGACTTGCCATGGTTACCCATGAATGGCTCGACAGAGACCGACAGTTGGAGAGCCTAACAGGACACAACCTACCACAACGACGTCTTAATGCTTACTGAATCACGGACACTTCTGTGCCTGACAACTCTCAATGGCACGGACCAAGTCTGAATACGCTTTTAACTAGTGATAACATGGTTGAATTAAATTTAATACATATGTATTAATTCAGCCATGAGTAATAATACCAATAACCTTTTAAAATCATGTTTCATGTTTGTGACTATAGAAAAAAATTCAGAAATAAGACTTTAAATTAAATGTAGAAAACAAATGAGAATGGAAGTGATTTAGACTTTTGTCGTTCAGTGCCACTGTTTTTTATGTGTTCAGCGCTTGAATTTGCCAATACGATTTTCACAAACCTAAAACCACATTAGAAATTTTTTATGAGACTATTAGAGAAACTTAGTTTTAAACTTTACAAAATTGTTCAGTTATACATAGAAAACGTTTCAGTTGGGCGTAGAAAATAAGGACCAGCATAGAAAACGTTTTCATGTCCAGCTAAAACCTCTATTATAACCCGAATACATATATGGTTATATCTAAAATAACATGGTAACAATAATTGAACGTTGTGCGAATACGTTTGTAAGCTAAGAGAATTAATAATTGACCCTTAGGACGTGTGCATTAGTTAATTAAACGCGCTAAAACTTCGTATGAGCAGCATTAATTTCAAATTATCTTTCATACAAATTTACCAAATTTGAAGAAGCCAATCCAGTATGAACGTTTAGAGTTAGAGTAAAGTGCTACATTTATTTTAATGCAAGTTTTATATAATATCAGCGGATAATATAATATAATAATAAGCGGATAATAATATAATAATAATATAATTTGGTTTTTCGCTTTAACTAGTTGTTAGGCAGCTAAGTTCTACGAAAAAGCATTAATAGCACAGTAAATTTGGAACATCCGGCATTGTTTTGGGATGCTCATTGGACATCTGGCAACTGGAAGAGTGATGCCATCCTCATACTAATGACACGAGAATGATTTCTCAATATCTGGCAACAACGTGGTCTCTAGCATATAAAAAAAACATACAGCAACAACCAAATTACTGTTATCATACGATTGTACTTATTCTGGCAAGAAATTGAAAGTGATGCCAAACGTAAAAAACTCATACATGTTGCCCATAGTGAGCAAACTTCGAGGGATATTTACTTTAGAAAATTAGATCATCATTCTTATGTTCAATATGTTTTTGTGCCAAATTTTTCGACTCAAAAGTGTGTTGACAATGTCATACTGGTAAAGAGTATTTAAACCTGAACTAAAAATTGATGAGTAAAATGTTTACAAACATAGCCATGACATCTTTCTGCTATCATTGTCGATCATTATTATTAAATTACTTTCATTCATTCATTATTAAAAATGTCATTCATTATAAAATTCCATTCATTCATTCATCATTATCATTGTCGATCATTATTAAACTTCATTCATTCATTCATTCATTCATTCATTCATTCATTTTTAAAATTGTCGATCATTATTAAATTCATTTCATTCATTCATTCATTATTAAAACTGTCAATAATTATTAAATCCATAAATAAATGATGGCTGATGTACTGGATTTATAAAACTGATTTACCAAAGCTGTTTTGAGCGCAAGTTATTAGTTAGTTACATCCTGGTGTGACTGATTAAATAATTGTTAATTATAGAGTTAAATAATATGCGTTTACAAATTACTTTTTAAAGACAACACCTCCAAAGAATCCAGCGTTTTTGATATTACACATGTACAATGAAATTCTAATTTTATTTTCGAATATTAAAAAAATCTTAATTTTGAACTTTTTTAATAAAAACCATTTTGTAAATTTTCAAGATTCTGTCAGTTGATTCATGCATTGTCTCTGATTTTATGCAAATGTGCAAAATTTCAGATCGATTGGGCAAGTTGAAGTGAGATAAATATCGATTATAAGATTTGTAGCAGACAAACAAACAAGAAGTGAAGTTAAAGAGAAGTGTTGTAATAAAAAAAAGTGGACGTACACTCAAAGAAATAACTGAGATGTTGTTCAAATAGCGATGCACCTTATATTCTTATGTGGGTCACCAGGACTCAGTTTGGTCAGGAAATAGGCGTATCAATGCTACGTCCGCTTTCTGCTCATGCATGCTGTGGGTAAGACAGCGTGTCACTATTTGGTCAACATGACACATTCATTTTTTTCTAAATGCATGGCGATAACAAAATACTGTGTTTATCATGTATATAACCCGTAAGTTCATTATTATGTTATTAAACATTCATATAATCACAAGCTCAAGTTGTTTGGTTATCATGTATATACCCGTAAGTTCATTATTATGTTATTAAACATTCATACAATTACACGTTCAAGTTGTTTATATGTGCTTTCGTCATATAATAACATTCCTAATGTTTTTACTTAATTTGCTCCTAAATTTCTATTGCAAGAATTGAAAAATAATCGCATATATTATTTCCATGCTATATGTCTTATTGACATGACATTAAATACTATTTGTATGACATTATATTCATTATTTCATTGTAAATATTACGATGGAGCGGCATAATCAATGCAAATCTATTTACTTCTATTTTTCCGTAAATTTAAGCTTACCTTATACAATTGTATGATCTCAACCTTAATTAGAAAACGTTTTCGTGTCTTGCTTTATAATTATTATTATTATTGGGTGGATTTAATGGAATCATACAATGTTACTATATTAATCAAACATGACATGGATGCTTGCACAACCATGTGTGTACATGGTGGAGTGAAATTAAGCCTTCTTAATGAGGTTCATAAATGATTGTATGGGTTACGGATGGGCTCAGTTGAGCCCTCATAGATTCCCATGTAAGGGTTACGGATGGGTTCATTTGAGCCCTCATAGATTCCCATGTAAGGGTTACGGATGGGTTCATTTGAGCCCTCATAGATTCCCATGTATGGGTTACGGATGGGTTCATTTGTGCCCTCATAGATTCCCATGTATGGGTTACGGATGGGTTCATTTGTGCCCTCATAGATTCCCATGTATGGGTTACGGATGGGTTCATTTGAGCCCTCATAGATTCCCATTTTTGTATAGCGGATTGGCTCATTTGAGCCCTTATAGATTTCCATGTATGTATAGCGGATAGGCTCAATTGAGCCCCTATAGGTTCACATGTATAGGTTGCGGACGGGCTCAATTTAGCCTAATAGACTCCAATGTGTGTATATAGCGGATAGGTTCAATTGAGCCCCATATATGGCACAAGCCTGGTGTACTGAAGTGTTTTCTCCGCATACCGCAGCCATGGCTTCTCATGTTCACACGCTTGTATTTATCTGTATTTATTTCTATGTTCAAACGTTTGTATATATGTGCATTTATTTCGCTTATGAACACTTTTGTGCATGATATATATATTATATAAATAAAATTTGAAAATGATTTATTTGTGTGAATACACAAATTTTTTACAAATCCCTTTTAATTATCATGTATAAATAAATTTTGAAAGTTATTTATACATGAATTTAAGTTTTTTATCGGTATGAATATTAATAAATTATCTTTTAATCAGATTGTAGTTTCTTCATACTATTCATACTAGCACTATAGCGTGCGTGCAGTAGCAATAAGGCTGGTTGATACATTTACTCTAATAATTATATAATAATAATTGTAATACTAATTATACTCTACTAATTATAATTTAAGAATAAATAAAGTAATTAATTAATTCAGTCCCTTATCTCGTATCATTTTATTAACGGCGCGAAAAAATAAGGTCTAATGAAAGGAATACAAACTTTCAAGATCGCTAGATATATTTTTTTTATCATACAGTACGTATATGCAATGGAATATATATTAACATATATATTTCTTTAATAGACTAATCAAATTTTTAGTAAGCGTAAAGATAATTAATGGGAGACTTACGAGGTAACTATTACCAATTTAAACAATTATATATTTTTAATGAACCGCGTGAGTTTCACGAATCATTGAGGCTTGACTCACTTAGAAAATGTGAGTCAAAATATGAGTGACCGCTAATCACGCTGAAGCCATAGCGAACACTAAAAATACATTCATTCATGAAGTGTGGATTTTTTGTATTATAATGTGTAAAGAAATGAAAAAAATATATTGCACAAAAATTGTAATTTTTGATGTATATATTCTGATAATAAAATCGTTCAGTCTCGTGTGGAGTTCAGTTCAGTTCAGTTCAGTCTCGGAACAAATTAGCTAAACTTCCATGACCACTACCCAATTCACATTAGTTAAAATATCTATTAGAAATCTACCTAAATAAATTAAAAACAATTCTTTTCCTCTCTAAGAGAATGCACTTCACCGTCCATTTTATTAGCCGTAAAGACCTGGGTTGAATGATAAAATAAAATGACATATTTAACCTTATTTACTAACGTCACAAGATAATCTACTTCTTTTATGGACAAATGTAAATAAAAACTGAAAAATCATCCATACAAGTCCGAGTCATTATCACTATGTATTCAAATGAGTGAATACATGAGTGTATTCATTCATTCAATGTATTCACACAATGTATTCAATACATTGTGTCCTGCCCTTCCTTCCCTTTGACTAAAAGATTATGACACAGGAAAATGAAGTTCACCATTTCTTTTTCCCATGCAAACAAATATCAAAACCCAAATTTTGGGGCTCATAAAGCACAAAGTTACTTTCTTCATAAGCCAATCTTTTTTTTCTTCATAAACCAATCTTTATAATCTTCATTAACCAATCTATTTTTTTCTTCTTCATAAACCAATCTTTATAACCTTCATTAACCAATCTTTTTTTTCTTCTTCATAAACAAATCTATATAATCTTCATTAACCAATCCTTTTTTTCTTCATAAACCAATATTTCTTTTCTTCATGAACCAATTTATTTTTCTTCCTAAGAAAATCTTTTTTTTTTTCTTCATAAACCAATATTTTTTTTCTTCATAAACCAATCTTTTTTTCTTCATAAACCAATCTTTATAATCTTCATTAACCAATTTTTTTTCTTCATAAACCAATCATTTTTTTCTTCATAAACCACTATTTTTTTCTTCATAAACCAATCTTTATAATCTTCATTAACCAATCTTTTTTTTCTTCATAAACAAAAATTTTTTTTCTCCATGATCATAAACCAATCTTTTTTTGTCTTCATAAACCAATCTTTTTTTCCTTCATAAACCACTCTTTTTTTTCTTCATAAACCAATCTTTTTTTTTCTTCATAAACCACTCTTTTTTTTCTTCATAAACCAATCTTTATAATCTTCATTAACCAATCTTTTTTTTTCATAAACCAATCTTTTTTTTTCTTCATAAACCACTCTTTTTTTTTCTTCATGAACCAATCTTTATAATCTTCATTAACCAATCTTTTTTTCTTTATTAATAACCAATCTTTTTTTTTTCTTCATAAACCACTCTTTTTAGCGCATTTTCTCATTCATGGAAAAAAGGCACTATTGTGCTCGCCACGTCCGTCCGTCTGTCTGTCTGTCCGTCCGTCCGTCCGTGACTTCACGTTTTCGTCAACGAGAAAATGCGCTCTCTGTCACTCATTTCAGTGAGTACTGAGTTATATTTTTTTTCATAAAACAATCTTTTCTTTTTTCTTCATAAACCAATCTTTTTTTTTTTCTTCATAAACCAATCTTTTTTTTTTGTTCATAAAGCAATCTTTATCTTCTGTTTCTATTCGTTAATTCCACTTCAAGCCATGGAGAGACGAGCGATGATGGCTGGAGGAGCGCCGATGGAGGTGAGGAAGGATGGCTGGATGGCTGATGATGATGATGTCTGGATGACCTTCATCTTCGGCTGCTGAGGGTAGTAGCAATGAAGGCCCTTGTTCGACTCGACCTGTGCAAATTACCATATAATTTAACATAATGTATAGGTTACCTTATAATTACCCTATAATCAACTCGACCTGTGCAATTTGCCTTATAATTTACCATAAAGTAAAGGTTGACCTTATAATTACCTATAATCAACTCGACCTGTGCGAATTACCATACAATTTACCCTAAAGTAAAGGTTGACCTTATAATTACCTATAATCAACTCGACCTGTGCAAATTACCTTATAATTTACCCTAAAGTATAGGTTACCCTATAATTACCCTATAAATGCTATAATATAATTTGACTGCATAGTTTGTGTATGTGTTTAAACAAATATCAGGTAATTACCCTATAATATAATTTGACTGCATAGTTTGTGTGCGTGTTTAAACAAATATCAGGTAATTACCCTATAATATAATTTGTCAGCAGAGTTTGTGTGCGTGTTTGAAGTATGGTACCGCGAACATTTAGGGTATCCACATAAATATCAGGGACTTTTTAATTGATAATATCTTATCTTTACATTAACATAGTTATTTTGTTTCCACACATATTTAAAACAACATTCATTTTTGTAAAAAAACATGTATTATTGTGAAGAGAAATAAAATTGAAATTGCTACTTTTAGACTGAGATATATAACCAATTAAGAAGTCAAGGATATTTTTGTGGGACGCACTGTATAGGGGGCTGTTAATTGGGGCGCATATATTGACTTCACACCGGAAAACATTTTTCGAATGACGAAACTTCGTTTTATTTATATTTTCTAGCATAACAACCAAATAACTCATTAAATTTGGGAGAGAGACAAAAGAGATCTTATCCATTTGCACAACTTCGATTCAACGGCAGTTATAACATTAAACAAGAAGTGGTTTTCTCCACATATTTCACTCATATATTTATAATAAAATTCAATAAATGCATGCTATAGCATAAATTCTTTGGAATAATTAATATTAAACAAGAAGTTCAATGCTATATTTGTATATTTGATGTCACCTGTTTTACAGTGGAGGTAACAGTTGGTGGAGCAGAGGGTGAGATGGTGAGGGTGGTGGAGTAACGTTTCTCAGCCAACCAGGGCACCCACTTAACCATGGTGGTGACCGAACTATAACGGGGGAACACATCACCATGGGAAATATATAAAAGGTATATATCATTAATGTACATCAAAATGATTATATAATTAAAACCATAATTTTATAACGTATTTAATCTTTTGCACTTGTGCGTTCCCTATTACTTCAAAACCTTAATGACTGAACAACATTAATTGGCACAACGATATGGCTCGGCAATTATTAATAGGAAATAAATCTAATGATAATGCTCAAAAATTAATTCAAGTCAAGTTGAAAATCCATCAGATCATGGTTGAACTAGTATAAGGTTGACCCATGAGAAGCTCATTTCTGCGGATGTAGTTTGTTGTTCGTCTGTGACGTCACTGATCTCAGTGACGTCACGGGCATTAACCATTCACCGAAATGCGATCAAACCAGTCAACTAATCCGTCGTGGGAATGACGTTTTTTTTACGTTTCTCGATCTCAGTGACGTAACAAGAAAGCTGAATTGAAAGACGGAAATCCTCGTGGGTCAACCTTATATAGTTCAACCATGCATCAGATGACCCAAAGGACTGAATCATCCACAATGCATGATGCATTAGCGGTATCGTTAGAACCATGGTTAGAACAGCCCTGCATGAGGCCGTACTATCGAAAATAGTTACGTGTACGTAACTCCCTCAGCCAATCAATGACAGTTTTTCAATCTAAACCCACCAATCACAGACGAGAAATCGGACGCTCTGTGTTCTTAGGTCGCCATGTGAATAAAGAAATCGATATGTACATCTTCCATTCTATATTCTTGTTTTCAATTTGGTATCTAAAAGCTTGTATGACAATTTATCTTTATAACGCGTTTTGTTCCCCGCTGCAGACATCTAGAAAAAAAGTCTTTAAAATATCTTACCCTTTTCTATTAGCCAATTTCTCTTCGGAAGCTGGGACGATGGACTGCAAATTCTTTTCTAGTCCATCACGATTGTTGTCATTCCCTGAAATCTTTCTTGCATTGAGTGAGATTCCCTTACTCAGAGAAGATTTTCGGCCATCTTGAGAAGCATCTCTTCCATCTGTGTCTTTTCCATCACGCGAAGTGTCCCTTCCATCTCGGGAACACTTACGTTCCTCTCTAGAGGGCTTCTTGCTTCCAGCGTCAGGGAGTCTCGTCGACGCAGTTTTGTTTTTGTCGTCGTCTGCTACGGCGGCTCCTCGACTGCGACGGGTTGCACGTTCTCGTTCCAGAGGTACTACGAAAAAAAAATTGAATTCATACTTCACAAACTTCACAAAATAAAGTACGAAAAGTAAATAACATTTGTATTTCGTCTGCAGTGACGTGTACATTGAAGATGGCCTATTAGTTATGATCACTGATATTCAAGAAATGAGTTGTGGGTTCAAGTCTCAGTTCGGCTGCGAAAATTATGGACAAAATAAACTTTTGCGGCAAGGTGATTAAGAACAGCAAGATTGAAACAGCGATTAGGCGTGACAGTAAAGTCAACAAAAGGCCAGACATGACCTAATCTTGAACGTTAGCACCTCTCTATAATTATATTGAATGGATATGTTGGCAATCGTTGGATTTGAAATGAATCGAAAATATATGAATGCCATGGAACACACTAGCTACGTGACAAGATTCAAATCAATATCTTCAATGAAGATTCTGCGCATCCCAAGAAAAAAAATTAAAAATAAAACTTTTAGACACGAAATTTCTAGCAATAAAATTTAGAAAATTTATTTCTAATTTATTTCAGGTTATGAAATAATTTTTGTTCTTCGACATGATGTAATGTTGAAAGAAGGACATTTTTATCGAAGTTAACGTTCTAAAAGATCATTGCGTTTTCTCGTATTTCATCATAGAAAATACTTTATATTTCAGACCAGACTACGTAGAAACAACTGTTGCAGTAGAAATTAGGATACAAAATCTCTGGTGATAAGGGCATAGAAATTGAAAGTGACCATGAAACGACGTAAATAATCGATAATAAATTTTATAACATATAATGGGTAATGTTTAGGTACCATGTTTGTGGCTCAAATGTTGAAGTTATTTCAAATTTCGCAGCACTCACTATTCCTTTGAGTGAAGTTATCTGGCACTTGCAACAAATACAATTCTTTTTTTGGTGGAGTAATAGAATATTAGGATATCTTGATTCCATAGTAGATTTTACCGGTATTACATTTATAATATCTAGTCTTCAACTATTATTGTTCTCTGTTATATTGATTTTTACCTTCATTGGCTTTTTACGCGCTAAACTTTTCTTAATTCCCTTAGACAAAAGAAAATCAAAACGAAAATTTCATTCAAGAGAATTTACGAAGTATGGATATTTTAATCAACAAATTACATTCAGGAGAGATTTAATGATTAAACAAAGTACTGAAATTTTATTCAACTTGCAACATCTATTGCCCAGATTCAACCTTTCTTATCAGTTATCACCAATAATTAATAATTCTTCCATAAAATGAAAACTATCCTCGCTTAACCTTGTTGATTGTGTACATACCAGAGAAAAAAAAAACATACTGACAATTATATTTTTGTACTAATATTTTAAAGTCAACTTAGCACAAGCGATGTTTTAACTATAAATACTAAATAGAATAATAGCATTAATTAGTCTGCTTCGTAATAGCGGTGTTAGGTAGTACCTATTTGTATGGTAGTAAGGCAACGATATAAATTGTATGTTAGTAACAATAAAACTCAATAAGGTTCGATCATCGACAGCTGGTGAAGTGACTCATGCTTATTAAGTTCAACCTTTGTTTAGGCGTTCGACTTGCCAGGCAAACTTTCGCTTTAGTTTCAAGGTCCACTTTACTTCAGTCTTAACTCCTTTAGCGGTAAAAAAATTAATTTCCCCAGCCAATAAATGAACAGTTTGTGCTAGGCTGTAAGCTGGGTGCTTGCTACTTTATTCATATCGATATTTCTTCACTCATATTTCATACGAGCTAAATTTTCCAGATAATGGTGATGAACTGAAAGCTCTAAATTTAAATCGATGAAACTATATCAAATGTTTAATACATTGACCAATAATTGAATAATATTGAATGAATTATAATTGGTTTGATTAATTATTAATAATTAATACCATTGATTAAGAATAATAATAATAATCAAGAATTGCATCAAGAAGTCGAAACCAAGTTCAGGGAAAAAATGTACGCCTTCATTTATATTAATTCTTGAGATAGCCATTGTATTATTAAGTAACTTCATACATCCTAAATTCATTTGCGGGGGTGAAATTTGATAAAATGAAGATGCAATACGCACCAAAACAATGTGCATATTTCAATAATAATTCAAAAACTATAATAACATAAAAATCACCGCACCAACAGTGACAATATATCTAAAGGTTTTTATCCCTCGTCTACAGACGACTCGAACCTTTGCTAAAGCTTTTTCGTACGCAAAAGCTTTGTAGCGAAGGCTTTGTAGCGAAAGTTTTTGTAGCGAAGGCTTTGTAGCGAAAGTTTTTGTAGTGGAAAGTTTTTGTAGCTAAATGCTTTGTAGCGAAGGCTTTGTAGCGAAAGTTACTACCAGAAAAAAAATCAACGTTTCGCCTAAGGATTAATAACCTATAGCTGTCGCCAATGCCACTCGTATTTAAAAGGCTCTTAACATGAGTTGTTAGCAATTAACTATAATGCCGTTACAAAACCATCTTTGAACAATATAAAGTACGAAAAATAGTACCGAGAGTGTGGATCACTGATACACTGTTAGAAAAAAAAACGGTCCCACTGGCGTTCTAGTGGCCGGTCGCCCCGTGAAAATAAACTGTTTCGCCGTTTTTTCAGATGTTTTACGGAAATCTAGTGTTAAATTAGAATAAAAACGGCGACACGGTGTTTCTTTTTACGTGCCGACCGGCCACTGAAACGCTGGTAATACCGTTAACGGTAATTTTTCTAACAGTGTACGGCTATCTCTGTTACCATGTAGCTCCCGCAGTCAGAAAAACGGATGGGTCACATTGAGCAAACAGTGATTCACTTCTTGCGTGTAGCACTGAAATTTTCATTTCCTGGGACAAACTAGGTCAAGATGACCCACATGAGTGCAAATTTGCATCGCTATTAGGACAAAATCTCATAAATTTCCAAGTCCATAATTAGCGCGGATTATGCGCGTTGACCGAGTGTTCCGCTTAGCCATACTTGGTAGGCTACTCGATCGTATCGGTGACCGATCAGATTTTGTAACCACGATCCATAGAGTGCAGGCCATTCATTATGATAAAATTAATACCTGCATCCATGGCCTGAATTCTTTGGAATAATTCCCATCTGTGGAATAATTAAATAACTCCCTTATTTGTATTATTTAATCTGGCCCATCTATATTCTTGGTGCTTATTTTTAAGCGAGTCGCATTCAAGTCACAGTTCTGTCCAAAATTCGGACAGTCACCGCCAATATATAAATTAAATGAAAATGCCCCACGGTGCAAAATACTCACTTTCATAAATTTTAGGTTGAATTTTCAATTTTACAGACTGATTTACAGAAACTTCGTGATGTAATGGCTCGATAAAAAAGAATTAGTAAATATATTATTGCAATGTAAATTTATTGAGGAAGAAATCACCTAATTTTTGTATCATTCAGTTTTAAAGATGACATCGGACAAATGACGGTCCTTATTGTCAATGCATTCAATTTGTCAATTTTTAATGTTTCATTCCGCTTTAATTTAATGTTAATTTAATTTAATTACTTTTTTTTAATTTTTAATGTTCCGCTGAAGCATATGTTGGCGATGGCTTCTTCAAATAAGGTAGGGCCCTTAGACAGCCATTGTAAAAAATTGATATATGGTAGCCTCATAAAAAAATCACACGGAGCTAAATTGTAACTTGATCAGGATCAGAGCCGATCAGGAACCCGACCTGAAGGACGAATACGAAACCGAGTTGAGAGAAAATAGATACTCAACGAGAAATGCTCGTTGAGTATCGATAATGGAACGGCCATTGGAATAGTACGCGCCTCGACAGCAAACGCACGCTGCTCACTTGTCCAATGCATAGTGGCAACTGACTAGGCGGGACACAAAACTTCATGACTTAGCCTTTCACATGAAATCCTCCTCGCCCTTTTCCAACAACATCTGGCTACTTGGCGCGAACACACAGGAAGTTTTTGTCAGTCACCCTAGCGAAGCGCAAGTATAACGCACGGGTAATAATTATATGAACATATGGGCAACTCTGAGAACATGCATCATTCCTAACTCTGAATGCGATATAAGCCACATGGCAAGGACATTAAAATCGCGGCACCTTAGTTTAGCTGGCAAAGCCTCATATGTTCTTTAGAGCGTCGTAACTGAGCTGATTTTTGTGAAGTTTTGACAAAAAAGAAGCGAAGTGACATTTCTAGGTTAACATTTAGGTTATTTTTTTTCTAAAGTGGTAAGTGCATTTTCGAGAAGAAGGTCATGCATTTCTAGCGCCGAGGAAATTGAATGGATGGCCGCGTGTGAGGAACATTGGACATAGTGTGAGGTGTGATCACTGAGTTCATAGTGTGAGTAAATTTGGACATGGAGTGAGTAATGGCCACTGAGTACATAGTGTGAGTAAATTTGGACATGGAGTGCGTAATGGCCACTGAGTACATAGTGTGAGTAAATTTGGACATGGAGTGAGTAATGGCAACTGGGTACATAGTGTGAGTAAATTTGGACATGGCGTGAGTAATGGCCACTGAGTTCATAGTGTGAGTAAATTTGGACATGGAGTGCGTAATGGCCACTGAGTACATAGTGTGAGGAAACTTGGACATGGAGTGAGTAGTGGCCACTGGGTACATAGTGTGAGTAAATTTGGACATGGAATGAGTAATGGCCACCAAGTTCATAGCGTGACGAAATTGGGACATAGTGTGAGGAATGACCACTGACTACTGGACATAATGAGGATATGGTGTGAGGAATGATCATTAACCCTTGGACATGATGTGGACACAGTGTTAGGTATGATCACAGTGTGAGGTATGACCGCTGAGCATTAGGCATAGTCTGAGGAATGACCACCGTGTAGTGTATGATTACTGCCTCTCGGACCTAAAGTGGACAGTGTGAGGTATGACTATTGCTTGAGGTATGACTACTACGTATGTGAGGTATGGTCTTTGAGCATTGGACATCGGGTGGACATATAGTGTGAGATATGAGCGATACGCATTCCTTGTAATGGACGTC